GTAGAGTTTGCCTGAGCTCCCCAGGACCTGGAACAAAGGCACCCCGAGGGGGCAGGGGTCAGAGGCAGCTTTCACTTTTAGTGTCTCTAACCCAGTCTGCATCTGGCCCGTGTCCTCTCCATGTTCTCTCACAGCCTGCAACAGGTGAGCAGCTTCTGCAAGACAAGTGTCCCCAGACTCTGCAGTGACCCATCTGAGCTTGAAGCTCCTCAGCTTTCTCATGGGCTCTTCACACCTCTCTCCCTGAAGTGCTCCTGCATGTACACCCCTGCTTGCAGCAGAGCTCGGATCCAGGGACTCCTCTGCTGCTAGATCAGGGAAAGGGGAGCACAGAGCCCCCTCCCCAGCTCTCCCAAAGCCAGCAGCACAGCGGGCTGCCAGCCCCTCCAGCCAGCCCTCTCCCAGCACGGGCAGACACCAGATAGCTGAAGATGGCACAGATACTTGTCACACAAAGCTCACTTGTGGGTCCAGGGCCCCCAGGGAGCTGGAGCTAGCAGGAGAGCAGCAGTGAGCACTCACAGCAGGGCCTTTTCTCACCAGTTCGTGGCTGGAGGCTGCAAAGGCTCCTGTGGTTCTGCTCCCCAAACCAGCTGCAGATACTGGAACCTGGCTTTGCCTGAATAAACAAAGTTGAAGGCTCCAGAGGAGCTGCTCCCTGCTCCATCTCTGGTTTGGAAACAGCACTGCCTCCTTTTCCCTCATGCTGCTCCTCTGCAAGGCACTGAGCACACTCCCTCTGCTGCAGCGGATGGGGCACAGGCAGCCAGGGGAGGGGAGCACTCCCTCCCAGCATGGGGAAGCTGACAGCCAACCTGGGAGCTGCTGGAGCTGACTGTGTGGTGCAGGAAAGCCAACCTATGGATTCCTTCTCTTTTGCTTTCTTCAAGACTGGAAAAGAGCTTTTAGAAAGCTACTTTAAGAGCCAACTGCTCTGTCCTATTTGAAGAGAAGGTCTGCAGGAGCAGAACACACATGAAGCAGAAGCCTGTGCTCAGTACTCTACCAATGCTCTGAGGCCTAAACTGAGTGTACCCCATGACCAAAACACAATGACCACAGACTATGTGCCATGATGTGTCTCACAGGACAGAGCAAGTGCCTTCTGTCGGCTCTGTGGCCTCAGCAGCACTAAGGGCACTAACTCTCCCTGGCTATTCCAGAGCAGGGTGGGGATTTCCACGGCTGGGATCACCAGCACACAAGCCTCTGGGCTCCCATGGCACACCACACTCCTCTCCCATACCAGACACAGACACCTAAATCCAAAGATGAACACAAACAAGTGATGAGTGGAGCTCTGTGGACTGCTGCTCCTCTCCAGGACACCCCAGGCACTCCTGAGCCCCTCCAGAGGAACATTGTCCCTCCTAGCTCAGAGCTGCTCTGGCAAGGGGAGGTTTCCCCATCCCCTGGAGCTCTTCCTGCACCCCTTGCCCAGCAGGTAACGTCCACAAGTTTAAGCTCTCCCACAGAAGCACCTATGCCTCCAATCCCCCTTACTCCCAGCACATTCAGGACACAAGACTCACGTTCCCATTTTGGGGTAAACGATTCTTTTTTCAGTCTGGCCTTTACCCTGGGCCCTCTTTATACTCCAGGCTGTTTGTTTCACTTGTGATAAGTTTGTTTTTCCCTAGCCTCTTTGATTGCTTTTTCCAAGATGAAGTATTCTGATGGTGCCTTTCCTTCAGAAGTGTTTTCCTTTCAGGAGGGGAGGAAGACAGAGACACTGCCAGATTTGGGCTCAGTTCCCTCGTCCTGACCTAGATGGCAACAATGCAGCTTCTGCCTAATAAGGCAGAATTTAAAATCCAAAGACCAAGAGAAAAAGGTGCCTCTGTTAGTGGCCAGCTGCAGCCCAGCCAGGCGCTGGGGTCTCTCTTGGCTCTGAGATGAGGTGAGATTTCCTTCCGCCGCCTCGCCCCCCGGCGCCTGCTGGCTGCCCAGCGAGGGGCAGTGCCCTCAGAGGGGTGTTCCTGCCAGCCTGGAGGGCCAGCAGTGCCACCCAGGCACCACTCGAGGGGCAGTCCCCTTGGAGGGGGTGTCCCTGTCCCTGCCAGTGTGCAGTGCCAGTGTGCAGTGCCAGTGTGCAGTGCCAGCCGTGCCACCCTGGCACCACTGCTGCCACCGGCGTGCAGCGAGGCAGCACCAGGCTCCGTGCCAGGGCCCGTGCCCCAACCCTCCCCAGTGGGGCAGGCTGCCATGCACTTCTAGGAAATTAATATAAAAAGACATAAAAAAGAAGAATCCAATAAAAGTGCAGGATGTGAGCACTGCACGGGACAGCTGGGGGAGGGCCACAGCACTGCCTGCCCCTGCTAGCTGGCCGTGCTCCCACAGCTCACAGCACCCCTGAGGCTCAGGCATGGCTAACAGGTGCCCCTGCTCTCCCCTTCACAACCAGCACAGCTCCACCACCAGCCAGCAGCCACCACCTCTGCAGCAGGGAAGACTTATTTGATTTCTCCTACCCTGGAGTGACAAGGGTTGGCTTTAGCCTGTAGGCAGGTATTATACAAGGTATACAGGTATTATACATCCTCTGGGATGAACAACTCTGAGGTAACATCAGCTCTTGGATACTCCACTGGTGCTACTCCTCTGTTAAGCAGCAAGGGCACAAATGTCTGAGCACTAAAAGACAAATTGTAGCTTTCACCTGACTGAGGGCTCTTCCTTCTGCCATCTCAGCTCCTGAGGGCAAGAGCTGCCTGCACTCGTGGCTGCAGTCCTAGGGCCTGTCTGAGCAGAGCCATTTCCCCTTGAAGCAGTGCCCCAGATGTGCTGGGTGATACAGACTGTCTGTGAAGCATCAACAGCTCACACTTGGCTACGATGACCCGAAGGAGTTTCACAACAGGACCAGCCTCACAGCCTCCACCAGAGCAGTTCTCCAGACCCAGCTGGGAGCCAAAGCACCTCCTCCCATTCCAGCTGAGCCACAGCTGGGTGCAAAGGGCAGAGCCCGTTTTCTGGGGAATAAGTGAAAGGGATGCCTGTGCATGTGGCTCCCCACTGCACTGCCCCTGCCCCCCGGTGAGGGAGGGGAGCCCCCAGCTGGGCCACGGGGCTCCAGGAGCCCCAGGAGTGAGGAGCCAGGCAGGCTGTCCAGCCAGCCCTGCAGCATCCCACTCAGGGTTTCATTTCCCCAGCCCCAGGCTGTGTTCCTGTCCCTGCTCCAGCCAGGCCTCAGGGGAGGCTCTGCTCTTTGTTCCTGCTCTCAGCCAGCTGTGCTGAGGAAGAGTTTCGCAATGGGACCGGCCTCACACCCCCAGAGAAAATACCTCTTCAGATTCCTTTGTTAATTAACTCGTCAGCATGGCCTTAATCAGCAACCAAGTTGCACTGAAGAGGAATGCTGCTCAGAGCACACAGGCACCTGCAGGCAGGGGCTGCTCCCTGTGGGCTGCCAGGCAGCTGGGGGGACAGGCACAGGCTCACACCATACCCACCAGTGGGCTCAACACACCCAACAAAGTGCTCCTGCATCAGCTCCTGGTGACCAGCCCTGGCCTACCTGTCCAGGGGCTCCTTCCCTCAGGGGGCTCTCTGTGCCTGCAGAGGCAGGGGCAGAGCAGTTTGGACGCTGGCTCTTTTCTGATGCACACCAGTTGAGCTCAATGTGGGGGCCTTCAGTAGGCATGAATCAGTCAGGTCCCATCCAGGGACTGTGGGGCAGCCCCCAGCAGGGATTTCCATCCCCTCACTGCAGTGGGAGAGGGCTGGGCAGTGTGGAGGGGAGCTGCCTTGCCCCACCCCACGTGGTTTGAGGCAGCACAGTTCAGCAATGCCCCTGCCTGGTCCAGAGCAGGGTGCCAGGGCAGCACCCAGCACATCAAAGTCCTCTCACCCTGCCTCTCTGAAATCCTCCATGTCTCATGAGGCTTCCTGCATCTAGAGATGAATATTAAGCCTCTTAAGATGCAGATAACTCCACCATGCCACAGAAGAGGTGAGAGCATGTGAGGTTCAGGCTCCCTGGGAAGGCCAGAGGCTCCAGGCAGTCCCTGTCATCCCTCACACAAAAAGGTGGCAAGTGAAGAGTGTGCATCCCAGCCTGCAAAGCTCTGCCTCAGCCTGCATGGCCTGACAGAGCATGACCATCCTCTGCCAGTGGCATATTCAGCTGAGCAGGAAAAATGGAAAAAACAGTAAAGATGGAAAAGCCTTTAAGTATTCAACCAAGGCAGCTGCTGCCTAAGGGTCCTGGGAGCAGTGCTTCTTAGGCTTTACCAAATATCCACAGGCAAGCCCTCAACTCAAATCAAAGGCTGTGCTCTTGAGCCTGTGTTTATGACTCATGGAGGGGCTGATGTCCTCCCCAAGGCCCCAGGAGCAATAAACCCTCCACGTGCAACCAAGCCCTGCAGGCTCTGAGCACGTGAGGAGTCCTTGTGTCGTTACCCAGGCCTGGCTTCACAGCTCTTCTCCCACCCCACAGCACCCCCAGTGAAGGTGAGAAGACCCTCTGCAGGAAGGATATTTAGAGGTGTTACTCTTGGCTGCTGTACCAATGAGCAAAGGGATCCCCCCTCCTCTGGTGTGTGAAACAGGGCAGCAGCAGGTCCAGAATGGAGGTGGCTGTGCTGCCCGAGGGGGTTAGTTGTGCTAAGCAGAAGGCACTGGGTGCTTCTTCACCAAAATCTTATGGGCACAGGGTCCCTCTGCCTTAGCTAGGGCACAGCACATGGCTGTGACCCCGGGGGCTGGATGGGGCTGGCCAGCAGCTCACAGAATGGACAGACTGTCCCCACCAGAGATGGCACTTATCCACACCACAGAAAAGTCAGAAAGAAGTGTCAGTGGCTCTTCTCTTCACCTGCTGGGCCTCAGCTCCATCTCTGATCCTGTTCTGCAGGAGCAGTGTGATCTTTCAGGCCAAGGTGAGCTCTTCTCTCTAAAATGCCATTTTATGAAGATGTTTCTGTGATTCACAGACTTGGCCACAGTGAAGCAGAATGAAGCCCACAGACCTGGCCTGCACTGCTTCCTCCCAGCAGCAGGGATCCTGTCACCAAGCAGAGGTCAAGAGTCTCCAGGACACAGGATTTGGAATGCAATGGGGAAAGCAGTGCAGTGATGGCAGATAACACTCTGTTGTGTACAGCCTGTCAGGAGGAAGAGCTGCCTGGGCTGCGTAGGTTGAAGATCATAAAGCAAAATTAGCAATCCCTGGAAAACTTCCTCCTGACCCACAAACATGTAAGAAATCATCTCTGACTGGCTGGGAGCCACAGGGAAGATGGTAGTGTTCCATGCAGACCTCATTCCAGTCCATGGCTACTGCTCCCCAGTATCACTTCAGGAGTTTGTACAACACTAACACTCTCTCTGGGTTTATCCAAGCACCCTTCCACGTTCTGCAAGTTAGGAAAATCCTGGAAACCACCCAAAAGTAGGACTGAAGAGGGAAATGTGTGTGTACCTGGTACAGAGTCCTTCCACTGGGGGCTGTGACCCGGGTGACAGAACGCTGATCCACCAGATCCAGAGCTGGGACAGCAGATGGGCCAAACACAAACTTCAGCCTGAGAGAGAACGTGCCACAAGTCACTCCACAGAAGGACACCACTTGGCTGAGCCTTAATCCATAGGATTTACCCTATGGAGCCCATGTGCCTGTAGCTAATGGCTCCCATTGCCTCCCAGATTCCCACCAGTCACAGCACTGTTACCCCATCAAGCAGTGAAAGGCATTTGCCATGCCCAGCTTCCCTGGCTTTCACAAGCCACCACCCATCCCTGCCCTGTCCTCTGAGACAATCTCAGCTGACGACTGCTCTCCTGGAGGACAGACAGGACTCAGTGCTTAAGGACAGCTTCTACTCAGCCAGCTATTCAGAGCACCTACATGGGTTTTGATGTTCTTGAGAGAACTTCCACATTTCCAAGTGGCTCGCAAAAAATTCCACATCTCTTTGCAAAATTCCATTCAGGTTGGTTTATAAGGTATTTCAAAGATTTTTCTTACACAGGACATTACAGTTTATGTGCTTCTTCTTCAGCACCATGACCCCAAACATTACTCTGGCTGCACAAACAGGACATGAAGTGGTTCCTGTCCTGAACTAAAATGAGACAAAGTGCATCAGAGACACAGAAGTGAGTTTTTTTTCCAGTCAGTCTCTGTGACTGTGGCACAGCATTAGCCACGTAGGTGAGGAGCTGTCTTTGAGCAGCATTTCTGGCTTGACAGCCCCTTTCCAGATCACTGGATATTGCCAAGGTGTAGTAGGTAAAGCCAGAGACACAGGTTGTCCCTACAGTGACCTGACTGGTCTTTTTGTGGGTTAGTATTCCCACAGTTCTTCTGATACAAACTCTGGGTAGACAGAACACTGCCTTTAACTTATAAAACAGTGAATCTAGACTCTAAAACTGGAAGCTTTGCTTCTGCCCAGCACCCTAAATACACTTGGTCTTCTCCCAGGGAAACTGCATCTCTAGCAGCAAAAGCAAGATGTGCTGGCAAAGAGAAGGTGCAGGAAGGAAATCCCAGGGGATGAACAGTTCTGGGGGTCCAAGAGAAGCCACAGGCAGTGTCACACACACAGCCCAGTTATCCTTGTGGCAGGAAACTGAAACTGTGCCACGAGCACAATGCACATAGACAGGGATTTTAGTGGGGACAGCACCAGGCAGACAAGAGCACACAGAGGCACCTTGCTCAGCTAAGGGGAAGAGGGGCTTGTGCTCTGGGACACCTTAACTGCACCTACAGGCTGTCCTGGATGAGTTGTCCTGGATCTGATCACAGGTCAGTTGTAGCCCACAGGTGGTGCCTCAGAGCAAGGAGAGAGCAATGATGAGAGACAGAGCCTGGAGCAATGGGAAATGCAGCAGTGGGGCTCCTTCCTCATCCCAGGGAAACTGGTTTAAACCCTGAAGAATGAATACAAGTCATTTTGTAGTGATCTCATCTGCTCTATCACACTCACAGCTGATGTATAAATTATTCTTTCTCTGCCCACCACAGTGCATCAATAGGAAGCTGAAGATCACCAGGGAAATACTTGAGACACTCCACTGCACATGGAGCCACTGGACAGCAGCAGTTTCACATCTGAAATCCAGCACCAGGGCTCAGACACAGCAAATTTATTCCAGACAAACACCCAGATAGAGCACATGCCTTATGTCACTCCAGCCTCCCTAAAAACCCCTTCCCTTCCCTTTCCCTCCAGGCAGGGCACCTCACCTTGCAGGGACACGCCACTGCAGAGGGTTTATGGATCAGAGAGTGCCTGGGATGGGGTAAAGATGAGGTTGGCCAGGTTGGCTCAGGTACATGCTTCCTTCCCACAGACCATGGCCTCCACACAACCATCTCCTCGGCCTCAGTGCTGGGAGGCAGCACCACAGAGGCACACGCTGGTGTCTGGCTGCTGCTGTGCTCACTGCTGTAAGATTCCACACCACCAAGTGGAAAAACAGAGCTGAGTCCTGAAGGCACAGGAATTTCTACCTATGTACTCATGGCCTGCACACCTCTGCAAGGAGGGTTTTGTCCCCTGCTGATGCCATGCAAGGATATATGATAAGCTGCATGTCAAATATGGACATTTGTACCTGCAGCCTACTGTCTAAGCAGCTCGGGGGCTTAAAAGTGGTTCTAGATCTATAAATCCAGCTGCTCTGAGTGTGTTCCAAAGAGCTCAGGCACAATTTGATTCAATTTAGAGACCATTTATACACTGAGAAAAATCTGTGTAGTCTGGATGAGCAACAAGGGTAAACACAAAAATGAGCAGTGATAAAAATACAGTACAAAACACGAGCAGGAGAAGAAGAGAAAGAAAGCAGAGGAACATTTCCAACCCCAGTGAAGACACAAGGAGCCAAGGCAGAGCCCTGCAGCACGGCTGACCTACAGGCTGAGTCAGGCTCACTGATAGCAGGCCAAGCAGACAGACTTATTCCAGGAAGCCCAAAACTTCTGCTGAACACCCAGGGAAATGAGGATTGGCTTCACCCGAGGACTGCGGGGAGGTGGGTGGGGGACACTCAGTGTAAGACATTCTTTAATGCTTAGGTTTAGGACTAGAAGTGGGCTGAGTTTAATGAGTTTCAGTAACTCCTCTGAATCTGGGGAATTCTTTTTCCATATATATAATTCGATCAGCCTAACAGGAAATAAGTAAGGGGAATGCTCAAAGGAAATTCAAGGACTTCAGAGATTTGGAAGAGATTCAGAAATTAAATCAGAATACTTCTGAGCTGCTGGTCACAGGGAATGGATGGAAATGCCAAGAGTTACCACCCAATTGTTATTAAACTTAACATGGGAATTCCTTTTCTTCTATGACAAGAAGGAATGTTAGGAGACTTGTCATATATAATCCCACCATCCAAAGGCCAGTGTGGTCCCACAGGAGGGAGCCAGCACTCACACTTTTCACAGGTATTATGCTTGATAACATTAGACCCAAAGATATTAAGGCCTGAAGGGTTCCTGGTGATCTCCTCTCCTGAGTTACAGGCAGGAACACAAAGTTAAAGATGAATCTGAAAATCTTCTCACTGGGATGGTGCCTCTTCTTTGCCTTCAACAGCAGTCAGTGAGGGCTGCAGAAGCTGTGAAACTTGGGTGACTCTTGGGAATGACTGAAACACTCACAAGCTTCAATCAAAGCAAGGGTGGTGGAGCTGACCTGAGACTTCTTCTAAACAGAGGAAAACTCAGGATTGTCTCCAAGATAACAATTCCCTTGTGCAGAGAGATGAGACATTCTCCTCTTCCCTTCTGTCACACGTGCCTGTGACTCAGAAGAAGGGATCTCAGATGCTGCTGTGCTCACAATGGCCTGAACCATTGCTGGAGATGCAGCACTCCAGCAGCCTGAATCACTCTGAAACACAGTCCACTCTTACAGAACACTCACCCCAGAGCTGGGGCTGGACTCAGAGCTCAGGTTAAACATCCTGGACTTCTGCATGTTTAATCCACCCAAATTAGAGCAAGTCATCACGGGAGAGGCAGTGATACAGAGATAATTTCATGGATCTCTGGAAAAAAACCTTGAGATCATCTCTTTGGACCTTCAATTCCACTACCAGCAAAAAACATGTAGCAACTCTGCATGAGAAACATGTACTGGTCAAACAAAGGACAAAAATAAGAGGACAGCAGATTATCAACTGCCCTTTAGCAGGACACTTGGACAAGGATTGAAGCAAAAGACACTTACCCCAGCAGCAGGTCATCAGGGACTGCAAGAAAAGGAAAATGAAGCATGATTTTGCTGAAGTTCCTGACTGTGAGAGACATCAACATCACAGGGGGCTAGTGTCAGCACACCCCCAGGGGCCACACGGGGCTGCAGTGCTCTAGGCATCCTCTCTGGCCACCAAAAAGCAGCAAGGAGCAGCAAAGTTATTTGCTTTGGTAAGGCACTTACCAAGTACAGCAATCAGAACCATGAGGATTCGTTTAAAAAAAAAAATGCAGAAGCCCAAATAGACTTTTATAATATCCTGCTTTTAAAAGCATGCAAGAAAAGGCATTTGGCCTCAACATCTCACTTTAAGAAGTGGGTTAAAAATATATGCATTGGTTTCCCTGAAAGTCTCTTGGCATGTGTTCAGAACTCTTGGCATCAAAGCTTTAAAAATGTTGTTCTTTTCCCAGCTCAGTCTTGCAGGGGCTGCTAGTTTATAGCTCTAACAGAAACATAATGTCTTCATTTATTGGAACTTCTTGTCAAGCTGGAAAGTTACACTTAAAATTAGACTCTTTGTTGTAGCTAACAGCTTAGGCTCTGATCATCCCATCTGATCTCTCTGCTATCACTAATGGACACAGTGTACTCTGTATTCCACTGGAAGATCAGGACTGCTGAGTTGAAAATCAGAATTAATTTTGTTGTTCTGACAACTCAAAATATTCTCTATAACTTAGGTTGTTGGTTTGACTTTTCCAACTTTATTCCAGTTTAATTCTCTAAAGTGATTGATCAGTTTTTTCCCACATTTATGTCTCAGTGCTGTTTTAGTTCTTTAAGAAGTATACCTTAAAAGGAATGTTGACCTGGTTTGGTTTTGGTTTGTTTTTAGTTTTTTTTTCCTGTTTGAAAACAAAATTTATGAAGTTCTTTCAAAAAGTCACATGTAGATTTTGGATCTGTTCTAAGCTGATGGAAACCCTATTACAAGGATGCCAGAAAGCTGTCAGTGTGGTCACCCTGACAGTTTAGACATTGTCTCTGTCCATTCCCCACTCAAAGTTGTGCTCAAATGGACTTCTCTGAATATTTATTTGGTTTGTTTTAGCACAGTTTAAAATATCCCTTGAACAGCCACTTTCCTTAGGAGGAACCATTCTGGGCTACTTATCAAGTAAACACAATCAGTAAATATTCTTCCAGCACCAATTACAGAACTGCAATCCAAAGTGCAGTGGAGGTAGTTGCTCTTAACTAGCTGCTAGAATTGGCCAAGATGCAACTGTTGGTTCCTGCTTACTTTAGACCAGCAACAGCAAAGCTGTTCTTTGCCCTGATCACTAACACTTAAATACCCTCTGCTGGTCAGTGAGGAAACGTGGTCTTTATTATGAAGATTTTCCTTTCAATTCTAATTTTGAAATCAGTGAGTCTATGAAAACAGCAACACAGCAGGCACAACAAAATGCCTGCCTAGGAGTACAGAAGGTATCATCTCCCAAGTGCAACCTCTCGTGCTCTAAGTTCTAAGCAAGCAGGATTGTCCTAGACCCCATGTCACAAAAATTGTCCAGCCTGGCCTCATTTTTGAAGGAGTCTGACTTTCAGAAGGGGGCTGCTCCTCATTTTTTGCAGTTCAAACCCCTTTGCGTTGTATCCAGAGAGGGACACAAGGGCTGGGCACACCAGATACAACTCGTCACTCCTGCGAGCAAAGGCCACCCCTCACAGGGCAGAACCTGCAGCACTTCTGCCTGCAGAGGATGCAAAGGAGGGGAGGCTGGCAGCCCTCCTCGCTCCCTGCAGCTTTGGCAGTGCCAGCAGTACTGGCCCACCACCTGCTGGGATGGGTATTTACTGGACCACCACCTGCTGGGATGGGTATTTACTGGACCACCACCTGCTGGGATGGGTATTTACTGGCCCACCACCTGCTGGGATTTTTTTCTTTACTTACCATGGGAGGTCTCCTGAAAAGCCTTTTTGATCTCCTTCAAGAGCTCTTCTGCTACCGCTGGCAAAGTACTGTCCATTGCATGGGCTCATGACTGGAACGCGACAGAGAACGGGAGATGGGGAGAAGTCCCAAAGCTCATGCTCTAAAGCAGGACACTTTCTCTGGGTAGTACTCGATCTCAGCCAGGCCAAGGAAGGGCAACCTCAGCAACTTTTAAAATGTGACTTTTACCCATTAATTGAACGAAGCGTTTCTCAAAAACCCCGGGTGACTCTCAGGTA